AAACCAAAGGCAAAGAAATTTCTTCTACACATGATGGAATATTCCAGAAGAAACTGTCTAAAGAACTCAAAGGTCAGGCCGGCGCCGCGGCTCACTAGGCTAATCCTCCGCCTAGCGGCGCCAGCACACTGGGTTCTAGTCCTGGTCGGGGCACCGGATTCTGTCCCGGTTGCCCCTCTTCCAGGCCAGCTCTCTGCTGTGGCCAGGGAATACAGTGGAGGATGGCCCAAGTGCTTGGGCCCTGTACCCGCATGGGAGACCAGAAGAAGCACCTGGCTTCTGGCTTCAGATCAGCGCGATGCGCCGGCCGCAGCGGCCATTGGAGGGTGAACCAACGGCAAAGGAAGACCTTTCTCTCTGTCTCTCTCTCACTGACCACTCTGCCTGTCAAAAAAGAACTCAAAGGTCCAAAAGAAGAATGTCTGTTGCAGTCATGGCACCCTGGCTTGTAGTATTGGGTTCACAGAGCTCCTAACTGTACATTCTCAAGTCTTGCTGGGATTACCCTTGTTCAAGTTTACCTTCTGCATTTAAGAACATAGAGGACTTGCATATATCCTGGTCATGACTCTATTAATCAATCAGTACAGAAAATCCTACTTATCATTCCTAGGGTGAACACCAAGGTGACAACAGAAAATATTGCCATTTACCTGGGTCCATTACTGCTGTAGAGAATCCAGAGAAATAAACATCTCAATCCACAGAGGAATGTTCTTTTCCCAATTAAGCTTTTGATGACTGCACATACGATACTGATGTTTACCTTTTTCCATTTGCATTTTAATTTAAAAGTCTATGTTGACTTCATTTTTATGGTGCAATATACTTATATTTTATTTTCAAAATCTTAACTTCTTACCCTGGTGTGTTTGGGGGGCTCCCCTTTAATATTTAATTTTATACCCTGTACAGTTACTAGAAAACATCTCATAGCTAATGTATTACTTTGCTTAGTTTTTTCTTGACTCTGAAATTATCCATTTGGCAATCAATTACTAATACGCAAAAAAATCTTATTTCAATTATAAAAGCAAATGTAACCCATGATTAAGAAAACTGTTTTGCAAATCAACCATTGTTTATTTCAGAATATAATCAAGTACCACAGACTAGATTAAAAGCTTAAGGATAAAGTTTTTTTTTTTTTTTTTTGCAATTTAAAACAAAGGTAATCAAACCTTCCTGCCAATCTAGGTGCTTGAAATTTAATTACCAGCAGTTATCATTAAAACTACGGCAAAGCAATTTATTTTGCTCATAATTGAACATTCCAGAAAAAAATTTCTAAAGCCTTCTCAGAAAATGTATTTTTAAATTAATTTTAACCTGATTATCTCATTTGTTATGTCTCAGTTGGTAGCGCAGAATAAATGACACACTTGGGTGATGTAGTTAAACAACAGCAAGTGAGAACCTATTCTCAGGAAAATCAGATAACTTGGAGCCTAACACTGAGTAAATTATTAGATCTTGACTCTGCACAAACACAACTGGATCTGAACCGCCCACTGCTATTCCTCAAGGGGAGCATGAGCCCATGTGGAGCCCCCCACTCTGGATGCGGATGCTACAGACCCATGGTTCCTTCAGGAGCGCTCAGTGCCCCAGTGCATCCACTGGCTTCCTCAACAGACATGCATGATGCTGTCCTTGGGCCTCTAGACATAGCGGTCCAGGAAGGGGCAACCACCCAGGGACAGGATCAACAGCCTCATCAGCAAAGTCACAACAAGGCCAGAAGCTTCCCCATCACCCCGTTTTTACCTAAGCTCTTGCTGCTTTCTGGAAAATTCCTGCTCATCCTTTGAGGCCGAATCATGTCACCGCCACAGATCCCCCCACTGAGGCCTTGACCCCCTTCCCCTGCACAGAGCTCATGCGATCAGACTAGAAGATACATTGCCACCTGCTTGTCCGCTTCAGCTGCTACTGGCTAAGGGAAAGGCTCTTGATTGGCCTCTCTGCTCCAAGCACTCAGGACTACACCTGAAACCCAGAAGACACTCAGTAGCTGCTTAACGAAGCCCAAAAGGCAAGATCACATTTCACGTGTGATGGAAGAGACAGGTGTTATGGGTGTTGGGCTTATTTCTGCACCTAACTGAGCCAGTGAGTGCCTTCTTTTCCATTACTCCAAAGAATTCAGTTTATTGGCACCAAGCACTTAGTAAAAGCCTGGGGCCCTGTGCTCAATGCTCTTCACACATCCTCTCGTTAATCCCCACAACTCTTCTGTGAAGTGGGTCCTGTGTTAGCATTAGCTTCATTTACAGATGAGCAAAATGAGGCAACACGAAGTCCATAACTCATCCCAAGACACTCACTTGGTCAGCCGTGGAGCCACAATTCAGACACTAATCCCAGTATCCCAGAGCTAGAAGGAAACCCAGGACCGGCGCCGTGGCTCAATGGGCTAATCCTCCACCTGCGGCACCAGCACACCAGATTCTAGTCCCGGTCGGGGCACCGGATTCTGTCCCGGTTGCCCCTCTTCCAGGCCAGCTCTCTGCTGTGGCCCGGGAGTGCAGTGGAGGATGGCCCAAGTGCTTGGGCCCTGCACCAGCAAGGGAGACCAGGAGAAGCACCTGGCTCCTGGCTTCAGATCAGCGCGGTGAGCCAGCCACAGCGCGCCGGCCGCGGCGGCCATTGGAGGGTGAACCAACGGCAAAAGGAAGACCTTTCTCTCTGTGTCTCTCACTGTCCACTCTGCCTGTCAAAAAAAAAAAAAAAAAGGAAACCCAGAATCACCACATCCTCACGTAACCTCCTTGAAGTTGGAGCGTACATGTTAACCCCTGGCACACAGTAGGTCCTTGAAAGTGGTGATTAATAGATGCACTGCACGAAGGGCCCTAATTTCTCAGGGACAGCCCAGCTGCCACCACAAAGAGCCTCTGTTCTTGCCTGCCCAACACCTCCCAGGTGTGAATTGCTTCTCTCCTCTGAATTATTCATGATCCACACAATGCTAAGGGTGCTTAAATCAGAGAACCACAATTCCATGTTTTTCCAAAGTGCCTGATTAATCAGTGAATTAGGCAATGTAAGTTCACGGGCTCCAAATAACACAATCATGTCCACTCTTGGAATTTCAGCCGTCACGTAATTCCCCAGTTTCTGTCCCAGAGGAACACAAGGCAGGAGCGAGGACCGTGGTTAGCAGCTCTGTCCTATCTGGAAAGCCATCACCATCAGCTAGGGCGTGCACCCTGCTGCTTCTACGCAAGGTATCCTTCCCAGGGCTGAGTCAGGGCTTTCAATCTGGTTCTGTAAAGCTGCATGAGGATCCAAAAACTCACCCCGCACGGCGGCGTTACTAGCGCCCCAGTAAGTCAGCCGGCCAACTTGTGCCTCTCTCTCCTGCTCCTACCGTCCCTTCGCCATCTCTCCTCCACCAGTTGATTTTCTCGTGGGCAGTTTTCAGGGCGGGAAAGCCATACGCTAACAAGTCAGCCAACATCACTATGTTTTAAGTTCAATGTTAGTCAACCAAAATGAATTGAGAAGCAGCAGCAGCGGTTTGAGGGTACTAAAAATAAGCTGCAGCATTTGCTGAGTTCTCAGAATTCAAACCACAGGCGGTCGACTTGTTGCTGCGCTTAATAAGATAGGACTGCTCTGCCCCCTTAGCTGCTACTGGCAAAAACTTGAACTAGGTTGTGAACCGCACAAGGCTGTGTTTGTGATTAGTTGGCAGCGATGGAGAAAGGAAGTGACATTTCCCTGGAATGACACCTGCCAAAGAAAGATAACAGATGGCTTTCCAATGATCACCTGGAGCCACACCACAATCGCGCCTCTGTCAGACTCACCCCACATGTAAGGTCTGATCAGTTTCGTGTCTATAGATATGGCTCCTTTTATGCCTGGCTGGCTGGCCAATGCCTCCCAAAAGGCGTCCCTGCCTTGGAGTTTAATTTGGGAACAATAAAAAGACCACAACAGGGCTTAATACGTTATTAACACATCGAGCACTTCCATTAGGACTCAAGACCTTCCTGCCCCTTCAATACTGCCTGGTACACACCAGCCAGCCCTTCAGGGCTTGCCATTAGAGTTCTCAGTGACCACAGACGCGGGGAGCCCTGCCTAATGCATCATTCTGATTAGAAACCTGTCATACTCAGGAATCGGAGTCTGTCCATTGATTCCTACTCCTTCAGAGTCGTTAGCTAATTTTTTCTCCAGTTAGATCCGCTGATCAACTGTAGAAAGGCTCAAATAAGCCTTCCCTTTGCTCAGCCACACTGCAAAGGGGTGAAATGTTCGCCTTCAAAGTAAAATTACAGAGTATCCTAAGGAAATGTCCAAGGAGAGTCAGTCAGTCTCTCTCTCTCTCTCTCTCTCTCTCTACACACACACACACACACACACACACACACACACACACACACAATGTAAAGGTGCCGAGTCAGGAGCTGGGTTCGACCTCGCTTCCCCAAACCCACTTCCATCAAGACCAGGACACCAGCCCACCCCGCTGCGACCTCCCACCCGTGCCTCAAGCGAGCGTATCCACAGCGCTCATTTCTGAAACAAACAAAGAAAACCAAGTCTGCGAGGAGCCAGGGTGTGCGCCCCTCGCCTTGGGATTTGGGTATCCAGGGTGGCAGGCGCCGCGCCGCCAACAGGTCGGGGGCGCCCCGCTTCGCCCTAAGCTTCCCCGCCCCGCCGGCCCCCAACTCCCGCGGCGCCACCCAGCGCGAGGTTGCCAGGCTCCTTTCGCCGCGCGCCTGCTGCGCCCGCAGCCCAGCACCCCGGCGCCCGCACACGGAGGGCGCCACCGCCGCCCGCCTCGGCTCTGTCAGCTGTCGGCGCCTAGGTGCGGTGGGCGCCGAGGGGCCCTCGGGCAGCCGAACGAGTGTGCCCCCCGCACGCCAGCCCCGCTGTGGAGCGCCGCCGGCCCGCCACAGGTAGCTCGGGGCGTGCCAGGGCGCGGGGCGAGGGCAGGGGGCGCGCCCCGGCACGGCCGCCGCGCCCGCGGAGCTGGAACTCACCGGAGGACACCGAGGAGCCGGACAGGCTGGAGTTGCTGGACGCAGCCATCTCGGGCGCCCCGCGCGTCGCTGCTCGCTCAGCCGCGCTGCCGGCGCCGCCGCCGCTGTCCTGGGTCGGCCGCTCGCAGCCTCCGCGGCCCCCAGCCCATGGCAAAGTGCTGGGGACGCGCAGAAAGCACGAGCCTCCGGACTCTGCCTGCACTTCCTGCTCCACCAGATGACGCGCTGCTGCCGCCGCTATTTATTTGTGGTTTCCGTCCCTCTCCGCGCCTTTGCGCGCTTTTCTCGGGGGGCCTGGGAGGGGAAGGTGCGAGTGCGGGGCGCACGGGGGTCGGCTGGCCGGGCGCGCGGGTCGGGGCTCTGGCCGAGCGTCACGGCCGTCGGCGCTACCCCGCGCGCGGCTGGGACCTGGGCGCGCCGGCGGCCCCGAGCCGCCCCGCCAGCCCTGCGCTCACCCTCGGGCTGGGCTCCCGCCTCCGCGGCCGTACTCTGAGCTGCACGGGCACCGGCGGCGGGAGACACACCGACAGCGCGACCTCCCCCTCCTCCCTCCGCCCCAGCCCGGCTCGCGCGCACACAAAGGAAGGAGCGGAGCCGCGGGCTGGTTCAGCTGCCGCGGGCTTGACAGCTCCTGCCTCGGGGGCTGGCGGGAGGGAAGCCGAGGGTGGGAGCGGCCCCCGAGGTGCTGGAGAGGCCGGCGGGGGCGCGGCTGCCGCGCCCAGCGCTGCTCGCGGGGTCTGAAGGCGACCGGGCGGGGCTGCAGGGGGAGGCGGTGGCGCCCGGCGACCCGGAGGGCGAGGGCGGGATCGCGCTGGACGCGGGGCTGGGCCGAGGGGCTCAGGAATGGCCAGGGCGGCTGGGCAGCGCGCCTTCCACTGCCTTCCAGATTTGTCCTTTGTTTTTCTGGAGCTGAAGACCCCTGCCCAGCTCCCCAAACACCCCGGAAGCCACTCCAGCTACACTTAAGTATCCCAGGCACGGACTGTGCCCGCCGGGGCAACGGGGCTTCGGAGAGTGGCCTTCAAAGAAACGGACGTCCTGAGTGTGCTAACTGGGGCTCACACAAAGCCAGTGTCAAAGAGATTCTCCGACTACGTCGGGCAGAAGAGCCTCCCAAGAGCCCGGAGACTTGGCAGAGGGTCTGACTGCACCCTTTAAGGGCCAGGGACCACTCAGGTGTGAGACAGACTGCCGTGCAAGGTGTGTGCCTCCTCCCACCCCCATTTAAACCTCAATTAATTTCACTGGGAGGAAGTATCACACAGATTTTTTAAGTCTGTTTCACGCTCCCAGCAGGGCAATCGGTTCTTTGAATCCTGAAGCAACAGAAAACTGTGAAATTTGAACAGAAATTGGTAGATCAAAGGGAAAAGCAAACATTAAAGGAACGAAAATGCTCTCATTATATAGCAAAATGGAAAGTGTTCACGTCGGGGTGGCTCAATTTCTGAAAACACGGCTAAAAGGACATAGTCAATTTAAAAATTAGCGGAAGCGACTGGGGAACAGCAGCCAGGTCCTGGGGGGGTCCACGTGGAGCTAACACCGTGTGGATAATAAATGTTAAGTAATCACAGTACGCACCCATGTCATGCTCCCCAGATGATGTCGGCCATATGCGTTCCCTGCAGGATGCCAGTGTGTCTTCCCAGTAAGGCTGCTTCTTTAAAGTGTGGCTTGCTGAAGCGCGCAGGGCCGGGCAGTGCCTGCCAGTGGCCTCGGACCGTGTTTTTCAGGCCATCATCGGCTTGCACCTTGTAAGCCGTGCTGCCTGGTCGCTTCCTCCATCCTCTCCCAACATCTCCCTCTTTTGTGCCGGGCAGCCTTGGTGCAACTGCACTGGGAACCCTTCAGGGAGCTGCATGCCCTTGACCTCTCTCTAGGAGCAGAACTCCCCCCTTCCCCAGGTCCTAATGGAAGGTGGCCTTGGCCTGCATCCCTGCAGGTCTTTCAATGGTGGCTCGGCCCTGCACCCCAGCAGGAGTGTTGCTCCTCCGGCTTTGAAGAAGACAAACCTGGGTTCACACCCTGGGTCGTCCCCTTGCCAGCCGTGAGATCTTTAGCAAATGACTGACTTGGTGGGCCTCACCTGCAACAACAACAAAAAACCCAGATAAGGGAGTGTGTTAAGTGACGGTTAAATGAGATATGTACAAAACCACAATGCTCCTGGCCCAAAGTCCATGTTCCCAACCAATTGTAAATTGCTGCCTGAAGGATCCTGCCTGTAGTTTAAGCAACTTTCTTTTTATCAGGAGACAGCTAATCAGCAGTGATTTGTTCTACCAGGGGAAACAGCTCCTCCCTGACCCACGAGCTACACCTTTCTTGTCCCAAATTGAGCAACAAGTATAAGTTTCATTACTCTGAAGTCACAGAAATGCAACTCAGACTCTATTTGTGCAGTTCGGATGGTAGCATCGATAGCATTGCCTTCATAAGCTTTAGTTACTTAGAGAAAGCAAAGCATGGCCCGGTCACGTAGATGACTTTCATGATTCCAGACAACAAATAGGGGGCAGCTGTCTGGCTTAGCCGTGAAGACACCAGCCTCCCGCATCGGAGTGCCTGGGTTTGGGACTTGACTCCAGCCCCCTGTCCCAGCTTCCCACTAATGGCCACCCTGGAAGGCGGCACGTGATGGCTCAAGTAGCTGGGTCCTTGCTATCCACATAGGAGACCTGGACTTCATTCCCAGCTCGTGGCTACAGCCTGGCCCAGTCCTAGTTGTTGCAGGATTTTGTGGAGTAAATCAGAGGATGGAAGATTTCTCTCTCCCTCTCTTCCTCTCAAATAACATTAAAAAGGAAAGCAAAACATAATAATAAAGAAAAACAAAGACAAGGGAACAGAAGGGCACTTGCTGTGAAGGCACCACCCCAGGGCCGCCCTGTGCTGTACAAATGTAGCAGAAAATGAAGACTCACTCTTTTCTAAAAGGCTCGAGGCCAGAAGGCAACTACAAGGCCAACAAAAATGCTTGTTGAGCAGAAATGTGATGACACAGCAGGCCCAGCCTGTTCGGGAGAAGCCCCTTATTTTGAAGAAATAAGAAAACGCCAGGTTCAGAACTGAAACCTGAGGGTTGCTTGATCACTGGCATTGGTCAAGCACGAGCGATGGAGGAAACGTGGCAGGCAGTGTGGCTCGCTCTCTTCTTTCCTGGATTCAAAGGCCTAGGTCTGCTGCTCTTCCCACAAATGTTTCCCATCAGTAAATCAGCAGGCAGAGGCTGAATAGAACGCTAACCCCTCCTCCACCAGTTGGTTCCGAAACCTGTTTGTGGACCATCTGAAGTATTTCTCCAAATGAAACAAGGAGAAAAATAGTTTGCATATTTTATTCATTCATGTAGAGTGTTAAATCTAGGTAACTCCTACAGGCCAGAGGGCAAGGGATTATTGGTGCTACAGAGATCTTAGGTCTATCTGAAATCTACTCTGTTAGAAGTTTCTTTTTCAGATATTCTACTTTGGGATCAAAGGATACTTGTTAATACTTTGTTCTAGCTATGATTAAAACATCACCGCTTTGTTTTAGCTTTCACTAGGTATTCAAAGCCTTCTAACTTCTCTCCATTCGCCTCTTGGCAAAACTGACCCTCTCTGACTGGGGCCCCTTGAGACTGGCTGCACTGGCTCCTGCCTAGGCCCTGCCTGCTGCCCACCTTACATACAGTACAGATCAACTGGAATGCACCCACTCAGGGCTCTTTTCTGATTCCCAAGCTGGAGCCAGCCTTCCTATTGACTCAAATGGCGGATCTCAGGGGCTGTCTTGTTTTAATGGTAACCTGGGCGTGTATTTTATCTCCCTCATCCATTAAAAGCTTCCTGGGGACAGGATCCTGGTCTGTCCAGCCCTTGCTCTGCACACACTAAGTGCTCAGGAGATATTTGCTGAGACACTAAATGGTTCTCATGCATGCCAGTTGTCACCCAAGAAGCAGTGACCACCGAGCAGTGAGCCGGTGAGTGACACATCGGGGAGTTGATGGACGCTTGAGGACACTGGAATGGTGAAAAGAGTAGAAATTTGACCGAGCACATGTTTGCAGGGCCCGCCCCACCCCCATTGTCAGCTGTTGTAGCTCACATGATTTGCCCTTTACTGGGCAGCTCTTACGGTCCTGTCATCTGTTTATTTTGTGCTACTGTTCCTTTGAAGTTTAAGAAGCAGACAAGGAAACACCGCAGGGTTGGAGCTGCGCTGCCTCATTTCAGGCACTCTGGGGCACTTCCTGGTAAAGGTCATTCTTTTTCCCTGTGCTAAACACAGGATGAAATATTCCTTGCCTTCAAGATTAATCCAGGGGCCGGCATTCACTGGAGAACAGTGAGGCTATTCGTCAACTTGCTTTAAATATTTTATGGCAAATACTCGACTCCGAAAAGTGGTGCCGTGGCCATCCATTTCTCAACATCAATATCGTCTGTCGCGGTGAGACATAGCTCCCTTGTAGCTTCAGCCCTATTTCAGACACAAAGATACCTGCTGCTGTGACCGAGAAAACCCTGGATTTTCAGAAGTGACATGAGCTGGAACTACTTAGCAGAAGCTAAGAAGCAAAGTGCACAGCAGCCCAGGGTGGCCCGGGCCAGCAGCCGTGGCAGGTAACACCCCTGCCTCTGAACAAAGAGTCCACACCTGGGGTGCCACACAAAAGGAGGCCGCCTCAGCTACCCAGCCCCTGGTGCCCATCGCCGGCTGCTGAGGACCCCTAGTGGCGACACACGCATCAGGCACAGGTAAGCCTGCATCTCACCCAGCCACCAAGGGGTCCCCTGGGCATTGCTTTGTCCTGTTTGGGAGCTTGACTTGGAAGGATCAGACACACAGGCGTGCATACACTTAGGTCACGCTGTGGGCTACGATGTCCTTAATGATACAGAGCGTGTGCACACGAGAGAAGACAGAGCAGAGAGAGAGCTTCTTAAGAGAAACAATGCAGACTTGGGGGATGTCAGTTTGCTTTCCTCTGCCTACTGCAGCTTCTGGCTTTGTTCCCTGACACTGCCCTGCCCCAGCGTCCTGAGAGATAATCAAGGCTCTGGGCAAAAGTGTGGGGTGATTTTGTTTTCCTGTCTTCTGGGGGCTGCCTAAGGCATCACACACTTTTACTATGCAAAGTTGCTTCCATAAAGGCATCTGATGGGCTTATTCCCTGCTAACTGTTTATTGGTGCACCTGCTAATTCACCCAGGAGTGTTTGTTCAGCACTCATTGTGCCTTAGGGAGTGTGCCAGGCCAGGGGAAAACACACAAGGGGTAAACTCCACCCTAGCCCTGGGGTGGGGAGGGGGTGTCCTACCATGTGATGCCCTCTGCTCCTTGCTGGGATGGTGACAGCTCAGCTGGGACAGAGTTGTGAATTACAGAAGCAGCCCCTGGTTGGCAAGTACAGGATTATCCACACAGGTGATGACTTTCTTTTCATCTATTTTTTTTTTTTTTCAAACAAAATCTCCAAAACCAAGCCTCAAAGTCCATTTCTGCGTAACTGGTGCTTTCTCATCCTGAGTTTTAGCTTTTCAGCCTAAGGAACCAAGCACAGTGCTATGTAGTCAAGCACTGTGTGACGTTTCCAACAGTGGGACTGCATGTGTGGTGGTGACCCCAAAGATTATAACAGAACCCCCAAAAGGC